AAAAACCAGTGCACCCAACCTGATCCTGATGATATGTAATGAGTAAGTACAGCTCACATGTGTGTAGTTTCACTGGAGTGTAAGCAGAAGAAGATCACAGTGGATTTGACTTCTATAGTAATATCCTAACTTTGTGGTTGAATTTTACAGCTTCCAATAGATAATAGACCCAGTCAAAATGGAGACCTAGGTCTAATTTCTAATCTATGGTACAACTGGAAAATTGATTTTTACAGTCCCAAGCTTGATGGAGTTCAACTTGTTTTACAAGGAACTGGCACAAAATTAAGACTGATAGAGACAAACCAATAAAAAATCCATGTAATGCATACAAAACAAATATCATATTAATGTTGCTTTGCATTTTCAAAGTCATTTGAAATTATGTGACAAAATGTGAAAAGTTCAAGTTGTATGAACAATGCACTGTCCTTGTGGCTTAATCTGTCAGGTCAACACTGTTGCATTGTCCTGGAGTAGCACAACGATGAAATGAACAAAATACATGCATGTAATGGATTTATGCATCACATTCAGGTGAAGTCTTGTTCTGGTGACTTCCATGATGCCTTTTTTTTGAAAGAAGTGGCGTACAGCACACGTGAAGTACTTGGTCCTGCAGATGAATCATCTGTGGTGAAAAACAGGAAGCTGTCAATATGTATCTGTGCTTCTTTGTTTAGCACGTTTGTATTCACAGTTATTTTCTAAGATATGCTTAAAAGGCAATTTATGCATGTCTTTAAAATGTTTTATATTGAACATATTGAACACAAGGACTGTACAAGTGATGCTAAAGCCATTTTAATATACATGGAATTTAATATTTTTCGTAATAATACAAGTAATAATTACTTATTCAATCTATAAGTAATATTTTTTGGAGAAGAAAGTGATTAAAATCAGGTGCTGATGTTTAACACATCTAACTCATTATAATATCTTGACAGACTGAAAGTAAATGATGACCTCCTACCTGGAATAACGCTGTAAATTCCCTCACATGAGTAAAAGGTGACATCCCCTGTTGTCTCAAAATGCTGTTCATTTCTGATGAAAAATGTTGTCAAGTTAAATGCTAGACACAACTTTTACCCCAGCAAAAATAAATACATTAATAAATAACTGAATACAGTATGTTGCTAACAACATTAATTGTCCTTTAACATTGTCATATTTCTGTCACGTCACAAACCTTATTGAGGTTGTCAATGGCTCAGATGCGACAGCAAGTGGCCCTGCAAGTTGGTTCTCGTTTGAAACCCACTCCTTGTTGCTGACAACAGGAAGGTTTGCATCAGGAAGGGCATTCGGTATAAAACTTGTGCTAAGTCCATCTGTATGCAGCTGTGGATTGGGGGAGGCTGCTGTGCTGTGGCAACTGCTTGGAAGGAGAAGCCGAAAGAAGAACAGCAACAAACACAAACCAGAGAATAACTGTGAGGTGGAAGAAAAATGATGCATGATTTTTAGTTTTTGTTACAAATAGACATCTGAATATTACTGAATCGGTGATTTTCAGAACCACTTTCCTCTGAAGTCACAACAAGTTTTGGGGTATGCATCAATCAATTTACATTGATAGAAAATCACATTCTTGCAGGTTTTTCTTTACAAAATAACTTAGTATCAGTCAGATTATACAATAAAATATTTCAAC